ATGACGGTTGAAATTTCATTCTGTAAAGACTCCTCATTGGGTCAAAAGATATGAGTAAGCTATTTACCTATTTTAGTAGGTAGTCCATTCTGGATTCTTCAATGGTTAAGTTCAACATGGATTGACCAAAGGGCTGAATAATTTGACAAAGACGGCTGCGGCTCTTATTTTCATCAGCTTTGAAGTCCTGAAGAACATCAGGAAGGCAAAACGCGCCAAAGCCTTTCGGCATCATGAGTCCATCAATGTTGATGTTAAACAAATTTGAGCCCAGGGAAAGAAAAATCTCCTCAATTTGGCCTCAATTGGCGTTGATCACTTGCAATATTCTGTATTTGTATGCGGACGTTTGGGGGAGTGATGTCACTACTGAAACCCGGGGAACCAGCAAGCAATTAATTAAACTGCGGGTTCCACACGGCGGTGTCCTCTCACTATCGGCGTTTAGTGTTCACTTCATCAAACGTCACCAGCTTTATAACATGAGCAGGACGCAGTTGCTAAAGCTACTGACCTGTAAAAATACATCACTCCATCTGATGTCGCCGAGCAGACACCTGATTGAAGCGGAGTCTCCACCAACGCACGTCAGAAGGCATCTCCAGAATTGCAGCGGACGACGGTATAGAGGTTAACCGCTTCCAAATTAAAACTCACAAAGGCATATGGAATGGCTCATAATTCAATTCTCAATCTAAAAATGTAGGAGTACCGTGCCTGTAGAAAGTTATCGGGTAAAATACCGATACAAAAAATATATATTTCGACGAATTGATAATCGCCCCCTTTTTTGAAGTTGGTTAAAAAATTAGAAACTGGAGCGTGCGAAACGGCATTTAGGGGATTATTTGAAAGCCCACCTAAAAATTGTGCCAGATTGGCTGCGCTATTTTTTCATTATTTTCAAGCTTTACCAATTTAAAATACAGCTCCTTAAAATACTCTTTTCTAATTTTACGAAGGAAAGTAAGCCTACGGCAAGGTCACATACATATAATAAAGCGACGTTGTTGTTATCGCTGGTGAAAACATTGAAAATTCCGTTGACTGCATTTGGTAACCACCACCGCACTCTAGTGATTACTGCAAAGCACGTTAAATATGCTTTGTGGTACAATAGCTGATGTCTACCTCTTGCTCACGCTTTTCAAAAGTTTATAAAATTATGTGCGAACAGTAATTATTGTCCGCTGGTCGTGAGGCAACGCACGCGAACGACTGGCAAAGTACCATAGCGGCAATCTGTCGCACTGCGCCAGATGAAGTTGCTATGCTCCGGAAAATAGGCACCCAAATAAGGGAAATTTAAATGAGCATACCAACTGGCAATATGGGACATAATAAAATTTGTACGCACATGCATAAGTACTTAGGTGAATAGTTATGTATGTGTTTTCCCTGTAGAGAAATATACTTGTATCAAAACGAATAATGTTCTATTGAATTTAGAATTATGACTGATGTGCGTTTTGTATCTGTTTCTCGAAAGTACCTGAGTACTTAAAAGAATAAATAATTTTCGCTAAGTGTTCGACCGATAATTTTTTTTTTTTTAGCTTTGTAGATAGATCTTCCCGATTGTGACTTGATTAGCATAGTGAAATTTCCTAGTTGTGAACTAAGTAGACATTTGATTCACTAATCCAGTCTTTTCCCTGCAGGGTTTCGAGAGTGTATACATATGCGGGTTGGCGGCTCGACCGCTTGGGTCAATGGTCGAGCTCTTTGCTCCTGCTCGTTAGAAGCAAACACATTAGTGTAAACAACTTTTGAACTTAAGCAAAAAGTAGCAATAACAATAACATTAACAAGGAAAAAGTGTGGAATTTTGTAAGCAAAAGTCAAAAACAAATGTCAACTTTCGGAAATGTAAGTTCAGCCGGATACAAAATAGTTACCACAAGCATAGGAAAAGGATAGAACAAAAAACACATTCCACTCGAAATACATATGTATGTATGTACATAGATGCTTCATTGAATGCTTTTTGTTTTTAAAAAGTTTTCAGGAGCAGTAACATTAGCTTGACCAGCTTCATAATATCATAACGGCATTAACACGTGGGTAATTGTAGGTACGTATTGTAGGTGATGATTGTATGCTTTATTTCCAGTTGTATTCTTATTAAGTGATTGCATAATCATATCAGTGACTTAGACTGAGTTCATATTAGCCAGTTTTTATTTCCTACTGCGAATTGAGCAACATTTTTTTTGTTTATTTGAATTTATTATGAAAACTGAGAAAAGGGCAAAAATCGGACTTACTTGCTCCGAGTACACTCCCTTCCGACTTTGTTTTTCATTTTAGATCTGTCAATGTAGAACTGAAGAGAATCCTCAGGTATCGGAAAATCCTGGCTCTGTTGTTACCTGCTAGGTTTTCCAGTTTAATCCCCATGCCGAAGGAATTGATTCGACAATTGAACTTTAAGTCATGATCCCTCCGCTCGCGGGTGAGCTCGGAAGAATGTCCTGCAGACTTCTGCATATAAGTTCCAGTTGATTCTCCTCAGATTCCTGTAAGAAAATTGCTACGGCCGCGCTTCGTCGAAAGTGAGTTGTATGTACCGATGATCAGAGAAGGAGTGGTCGTTAGGGACTCTCCAGCCAGATATACGGGACATTATACCAGGGGAGGTCAGCGTGATATCTAAAACCTCTTCCCTGCTAGCCGTTACAAAAGTAGGGTCATTCTCCCTATTACATATACATAACCTTTCATAACATAATCTACATAAATAAAATAAAAAGTGGCTCACCTCTATTGTTGATATCCGAGCTGGCACCGATCGTATGGTGGGGATTTTCGTCAGACCCAATAACGACGCTGGTCTTCTTGCTTCTGCAACTACACCCTGCCGCAACTACGGAGGTGACTCGACCTCCTCTTCTTGCGCCATACAAGCGGAGATTGAGCTGAAGAATATCCATCCTCCTCTACGGGCATCGGGCGTTTCATCAACTGGCAAAACCGAAACAGGGGCGCAATCCCCACTGGAATCGGTGTGGTAAACTTTAATGGCTACCTTAACGAACCCATAGGTGATGACAACTTGGGTTTCGGCGAGAGTTCCGAGAGATCGCGTTGAGCAACACCAGCGCTGGCTGGAAGGATCCCTCTACCCCCTTGAACCAAACTACCTTCCAGTCGTGCGTTGGAAGTCCCGGGTT